TCTGTGTCGGTCTTCTCACCGCATTTTCTTTGGTGGTGTCTTCGTGTGCCTGGAGCACCTGGATTCTGTGCCGACAGCGGAGCTGCTCAATCTGCCGCACTGTCAGGTCTCCGAATTTCTGAGGTCAGAGAGCACAGCATGAAAGATACCTCGTGAACTGTGATGACTAAATGAGGATTATGAAGAAGGACAAAAATGTAGTTGAATAAGCCAGAGGTGAAAAGCTCACTTATCTAACAAAAGGAAGCGAAAGAAAACAAGTAAAGGAGCTGGTGCACAATGTGCACAAACTATCAGGCAAAAAATGTGCATCTCTTACGATATAGGAGTCATTGATGAGGTCGGTGATGTTTGTGTGCCTCTTAGCGACACTGCAGCTAGATTCCTCTGCAGCAGGCGAGGAGGACGGAAAACCGGGGCACTCTACATTTCCAACCTGGTCCAGAAAACTGGGAATCACAGGAAAACCAACGAGGTGTTAAATTCCCCCCGTGCACATACAATTATAAACCATGCAATGCAGACAAAAGCACAAAGTAATATAAGAAAGCATTCATGTCAATCAGTGGCACAATGCTTTGAGCTGCAAACCTACCCTGTGAGAATCATAAGCGCCTGCCCGTCATCTGTGCTGGACGAAAGCTCCGCAGCATTGGCCTCCAGCACAGCCAGACCAAGCTGGAGGATGGCTTTGATTCCGTGGAAGAAGAAGCAGTCGACTACGCAGACGGCGCTGTGGAACGGCAGGACGCTCAGGAACAGGGTGAGGAACCAAGACAGGGACACAGAGGAGAGGGTGGAAAGGTCTGGAATCTGTTCAGCCAGCTCTGGCAGACGCTCCCTGATGAGCTCCTCGAACACCGACTGGTCCACCTGAGCGCCTGCAGGAGAGGGCGGTGGAGTCAGACAGTGTTGGGGTGGCAAAGAGTGGCCTTGGATGTAGGCCTGTCCAGATTTTTCTCCAAGTTAAATATATTCAAGACGTGTTATGATTCACACAAGTCTGACCTGTTTGATGCCCATTTTCCCTTAATATATGGCTTTTTCATCATTCTGACCACTAGATGGCAGCATAAACATGCTAGTCTGTGCTGTTCTGCAGTTCCACAAAAGATTTTTATAGTAAGGCTTTACTTCTCTTTGCTAAATAGCTGCTTTGTTCTGTAAAGACAGGTAATGTTAATGTGGTTTCTGTGTTTTAACTAGAGGCAGGTTGTTGCCAGAATAAATATATCAATGTTTTTTTTGTGGGGATTTTTTGCCTCTTTTGAAACGTGGAAACTGTTTACTTTCATTTATTTTAAAGTAATGTTGTGAATCGATGCTTCTACAGAGTCTCAGACCACAATCACTGTTCTTTCAAAAATAAGTGACGCCCACAAACATGTGGACATTAAAAGGAAAAGGAAATTGCTACAAATGCAACACGCAGGGCAAAAATAAACACCTTTACAAACACAGGAAATAATGCTTATTCTGAAAGCCCGCCTCAGAAACGGTACATGCACCACAGCAACAGCAGCAACACAGTAACCACTTATGTGCTTTTTTTAAAAGCGTGGCTGCATGCAAATAAAGCTTCTGGGCTCTTTACCTATGACCCTGCGATTGAAGTAGTCGGGCAGCATTCTTTCACACACGGCCACCAGCAGCCAGAAGGCATCTTCCTCTTTAGCATACAGCAGCAGCACCGATGCCAGGATGTTCATAGACTAGTGAGAGAGAAAGCAAAATTCACACATGCATCTTAAAGAATCTCACATGAGTGGTTCTAGTATTACACTATAAGTGCCACCATTACAAAAATGACTAATGCTGCTGCTTAAACGCCTTTACCTGACAGTATCCGATCTTTGGGTTGCGGTGAGCATACGCAGTGAGGACGCGCCTGAGTGCAGCAATGCCCGTTGGGTTTTGGAAAGCGGGATGGTCTGGCAGTGAGCGGTGCAGGTCCCGTTCGATCTCCTCTGTGGCCAGGTTGTTATGGCCCATTGATTTCTGCACCAAGCTGGCGTAGTAGCCCTCATGGGACCCTAGGTCAGAGGATGCATCTGCGCAAACCACACAGGAATTAGAGAATGGAGAATGACCTGCTAACCCGTTTTGTTCCCCAACGATATATATATATATGCTATAAGAAAAATCCCAGGTTAAAATTATTCTGCACACCTGTGCCTTTTACCTTCGATCGGTTTCATTTTTAGTTATTCTTTGCGGCACAAAGGAACTATGTTTGGATAAAAGGAAGTGAGACTGAGCAGAGGAACGGACCACACGCCAAAATAAAATCTGACTGACTGAAAGAGTGCCATTGCCTGAGGAACAACAGATGCAGAGAAGAGGATGTGAAGCCCAAGTTGGGTTTAAACACAGACACACACACACCTGTAATTCCATACTTGTGGGGACCCTTACAGTAATTCATTGCCTGCTGGGGCCAGGACCACAGTGAGATTTAATCTCAAAGTGTGTCTTCTTGTTTTCTGTGTGCTGGCCTACCACATCTGTGTTTTTATTCAGCAGATACATCAGTGTATCGCTCATAATTAACCACAGCAACCACAGCGTTCTGCAGCGCCATGCAATGCCCTCTGG